TGTTATGTGCTGTATTGTTTCAGGGGCATCTTTGCACAGTCTGCATCGGGGGTCCTGCCTGGTGTGGTAGACCCTGGCCTCTATTGATCTTGTACTGAGTGCCTGTTCTTGTGCTGCCATGATTAGTGCCTCTGTGCTGTCCTTCAGTCCAGCCTTTTCCAGCCACTGGTAGGATTTTTTGATATCAGCCACTTCTTCTATTTATCTGTGGTATACGCCGTGCAGCGGCTTGTCCCTCCATGATGGTTCTCCTTCATCTTTCTTGTCCTCACTATATTTATTTATATATATATAAAGTCATGTTTTCCTGAACCACATTTCACTGTGATTTTACTTTATTTAATTAGAAAAAAAAAGTTAAGGTTAATATTGTCTTTTCCTTATAATGCATGATATCAATTGGTTATTAACCATATAACAGCAATTTTATTATTGGATATGGACATTGGACCAAATTAGGTATTGCTGCATCCCTATCCACGTTTAAACAGCTTGATGTAGATTTTAATCAAACAAACTGTTAATTATTTTCTTTATGAATAATAATAAAGTATACATTTTTAAATAAAGCCAGAACATTGCAAATAGAGAAGCACCTCATTTATTATGAGATACAGGATTACATCAGTTGGAGTCCTGTAGAATGTGCAGCTGAGGTGTGATATTCTACCGTTTACAGCTGCAGCAGTATAACTCATATGGTCCAGTTTATGGCTTACATGACAACTAAATGTTTCTCTTTAAATGATGTATTGATGTACGAAACAAGCATTCTATAAAAAAATATTTATATTCATTCGAAGAGGTACATTATAGTTTTATATAGATCATTATGTTACTTCTGTTTAGTCCCAATTGTCAAAACCGTATTGCAATAGGCCTAAAATGTTTTTTTTTTTTACACAATATAGTTATAACTGAATGCTAAATGATTCCTGATTCATTTAAAGTTATTGTTTCTGCTAAACATTATTAAATAATACAAGTTTACCAATCAGCAGGTCAATAAAATACTTATCTTGCATTATTATTCAAAGAGTCAAAGTTTTGGACTAATAATGAAAGTTTAGATGAAAAGTTGGGCTTCAACCTACCTGCTCAGTGAGTCTTTGGGCCCCGACTGCTAACTGGATCTGTGCTGGAGCTTTGGACTCCTTCTCTTTTAGCCGGTGGCCATGGAAGCGTTGGAAAGATTTTAATCCACAGTGAAATTTCCTAATCCCAGCCACATGCCACCATGTTCACAGCCCTCATACAGCTGCAGAACTGCCAGCCGGCGACTCCCTTCATGGTTTTGACACTGTAAAGATCTGACCCTACTGGGGAGGGAGGAATATTCTAGAAAGCCGCACTTTTAATTACCTTCAGTGGGATCTCTTTGTTAGGGTAGTAGGTTCGTCACTTGAGGGGACCAAAGTTGGCCGACACAGGCGCTCAGGCTGTTTTTGTTTTCAGTTCTCAAGAGCATTTGGGATTTACAGGAGGCCGCACAAAAGATCCCTCCAGTTACATTTCCTTTGGTCCCCCTCCCCCAGTTTGAACCTGCAAGGTTGCCTCACATTTACATCAAAATGGAGAGCTGCAGGGACACGGCGTCCTTGGTATGCCGT